ATATCAAATCAAAGGCATGGTGTTTAAAACAAACAGAAGTTCTATGAACACAGCATTCTTCTGAACCATCAAAATAGATCATGGTTAAATACAGTGGGTTGGATACACACAAGTACTCCACTCCCTTCTGAAATCCTACAGAAATGAGAGAAGAGAAAGACAGAGACAGACAGAGACAGACAGGGACAGAGACAGAGACAGACAGAGACAGAGACAAAACCAAATAAAACACAGATAAAGCTGACTGTAGTGATGCACACCTCTAATCGCTGCACTTGGGAGGCTAACACAAGAGGATTGCTATGAATTTGGGGCAACCCTGGGCTATGTAGTAAGTTCAAGTCTCACCTGAGCTACATAGTGACATTCTGTCTCAGAAAGAAAGAAAGAGAAAGAAAGAAAGAAAGAAAGAAAGAAAGAAAGAAAGAAAGAAAGAAAGAGAAAGACAGAGAGAGAAAGAGAAAGAAGAAAGAAAGAAAGAAAGAAAGAAAGAAAGAAAGAAAGAAAGAAAGAAAGAAAGAAAGAAAGAAAGATTTTAAAAATACAGGCCATATTTGAAGCACCTCTCAACAATTTTCAGAAGATTGAAATCACTCCGTATGTTCTCTGATTAGGCATAATTAAATGAAGAATAAATGTCAGAAAGATACAGAAAATCCTCAAATTTATGAATATCAAACAATATAATTCCAAGCCACCTATGAACTAACAAAAAAATCACAATAGAAATAGACAGCATTTTAGGCCCACTCTAGCTAATGTCAGGGCTCCAAGATGGCTTCCGTTGTACCACTGAAAGAGAAGAGACTCTTGCATGTGAAAGTAGGGGAGCTGCCCAGCTGGATACTGAAGCGGGTGTGTCCCCCACGGGCATTGCTGGAGCATTTCAGAGAGGTCACAGCCGGTATTACAACAAGTCCATCAACGTGAAGAAAGGGAGCATCGCAGGGCTGCACATGGTGCTGGCAGCCTACGTCTTTTTCAACTACTGCCTTTCTTACAAGGAACTCAAACATGGGCAGCGACACAAGTACCACTGAGAAGGGCCCAGGGTGAAGGGCGCACTCTACACTCTGGCCTGTGACTGCCTCGTCTTCCTCCCGTCTGTGAGCAGCTTAATCACAGCTCAGTTTGTTCATAGCCTAAGTGAGAATTAATGCTCAATAAAAGGTGACGGCTACCAAAAAAGAAAAAAGAAAAAAACATATATAGCATTTTAGACATAATAATAATGAACATATCAAAACTTGACATTGGGGCTGGGGAGATGGCTCAGTAGAATAAGCATTTACCTGACAAGCACAAGGACCTGAGTTCAATCCCCAGTTCCACAAAAAAAAAAAAAAAAAAAAAAAAGCCTGAAGGTAGAAACAACTCAAATATTCTTCAAAAGGTGACTGGTTAAACAAAACAGTAATACATGCAATGAATTATTCACTCTTAAGAAACAAATGAGTCATTAAACCAGCAGTATTCCAGACTCTACCATGATATTGGAGAAGTGTGTCCATTTCCTTGAGGGGAAGGTGAGGAAGGAAACAAAGAAATTCATCCTATTTACTAAGTGTGTTCATTAGCTTTTCATCACTGTAATGAATATCTGAAATAACTGACTTATAAAAAGAAAAGCTTTCTTCCAACTCATAATTTTGAAGGTTTCAGTTTATAATTGCTCAGCCCTCTTGCTTTTGCACCTGGTAAGGAAGCACAACATGGTGCAGGTGAGTGGCAGAAAAAGGAAAAAAAAAAAAATCACCTTATGGCCAGGAAGTCAGAGGAAGCAGAAGGGCCTGGGGTCCTCCTTTCCCATTGAAAGCCACATCCACAGTGACCTGAAGAACAGATGGTGGTTCTCCTGCCTCAGCCTCCCACGTGATGGGACTACACACGTGAGCTACCACTCCAAGATCTTTGGCTGTTTTGGTACAGGACAGCGCAGCCATATATTCATGAACAGCCATGACACTGGTCAATAACTTGCCAAAATGTCAAAGGAGAACTTTTTTAAATCACTTCTAGAAGTGTTGAGATATAAGACTTAGTAAGGAAAGAATATCTACATATTCTCTCTAGGCTCTACCTCTCGAGGAGTCCACCCCCTGCTTCCCAGGATCACCAAGCTGGGATCAACCAAACTTTAACACATGCACCCTTGAGGTCTGTGTAGGGTCCAAGTTGTTACACTCAGCCTGATTTCTTGAGTGTGCACGAGGTGTCACACTCACTTCTATGTGTTCTCCAGATCAAACCCACCAGACAGGAAGAAAAATGTATAAAACTACCAGACAATATTTTTAAAGATCAAAAAGTAAGTACTTACCCTACCAGATATTAAAATATATTGAAGAGCTATGACAATTATAACAATGTGATTTGAATATCTGAGTAAACAAGTTAAAGTATTATTTTCTATTTATATTTAATTGACTGGTTAGATTAGTTTGACATGTTAGGCTAATTATTGTGAGAACTGACATGTTAAATTGGAAGACTATAGAAACATATGAGAATGAAAGATATGATAAAAATGGTAGTTTGAACTAGTAGGGAAAATAATAAGCAGTTCAATAAATGGTGTTAGCATAATTGACTAGATGCACACTTGGAAGCTATGAATTCCAGATGGGTTAAGGACAAATCTAATATTGAAAACATATTTATAAGCTTAGCCGAAGAAAGGCCTTCACACGTGAGATGTGCTTGGCAGCCCACGCATGTCTGTGAACACGTGACCTAGCTTCCTCATGGCCCATGACATCTTTGTTTCGTTTTGTTTTTTACAAACAATAACAGAGATAAACATTCAGTAGGATTGAACGATACTAGTAGGATTATTTGACAATTACTCTGATATGGCAGAGGTAAATCTTATTGGTTACATCATGCTTTGTGGTTTAGTAGTTGTACTTAATTCTTTATACCCCAGTCCCTGGGGATAATGAAATTTTATTTTTCCTGCTGCTAATAACAATGTTGTTGAGTTGAATATGTAGATATTCTTTCCTTACTAAGTCTTATATCTCAACACTTCTAGAAGTGATTTTAAAAAGTTCTCCTTTGACATTTTGACAAGTTATTGACCAGTGTCATGGCTGTTCGTGAATATATGATTGCGCTCTCCTGTACCAAAACAGCCAAAGATCTTGGAGTGGTAGCTCACGTGTGTAGTCCCATCATGTGGGATGCTGAGGCAGGAGAATCACCATAAGTTCAAGGCCAGCTTGGTCTGTTTAGTGAGTTCAGGACCAGCCTGTGCTACATAGTGAGACTGGGTCCCAAAAACAAAACACAGCCAAGGATCAGTGAGTTCAGGATATCTGTGATTTTTTTTTCCTCTTTTTGAGATTAGTTCTCATAAGAAGATAATTAGTTTCTCTAACATGGTGAGCAATTTTCAGCATGAATTACAGGGTAAAGCTCTGTTATTGCCGGCCTCCACAGGAGGGAGAAAATGCTTCAGCAAGTTGCAAACAAAAACATAGCAAGGTAGCCAGACACGGTGGTGCATGAGTAGCACCCCAGTACTTAGGAGTTGAGGCAGGCAGATTACGAGTTTGAGCCCAGCCAGGGCGACTTAGCAACTTACTGAGACCCTGTCACAAAATAAGAAAATTAGAAAGAACTAAGACTATATAGTTCAATTCAAAAGCCATAGGTTCAATCTCCACTACTGAAAAAAAATTATTCAAGATGCTTTTTATTTTTTTTACATTTGATCAAGAAGCTAAAAAGCAAAAGGTGCTTCATTGGGAAAACTGTCATATTAGTGGTTTGTCTTCTTTGCCCTTCCCACCTAACCAAGCCAGTTCCTGGACAAAGTGACTATATACAGATGGAGATTCTCAGTTGCAAGGGACAGAATCCATTTCAAATCAGTGTAAGAAAATTCCTAGTTAAGGGTTAACTGACTTGAGTTGCCCAGAAGGCTAAGGTTTGATGTAGCTGGAGTGGCCAGGCCTGTCCTGCCTGGGGCAGTCTGGCCCTGTGGAGCCATGGGGAATAGACCCTCCAGGAGGAGTCTCAGCCATCTGGCCAAGACAAGTGACCTGGGCGCTGAGCTGGTGAAAGGAACAGCCGTCTGTCCCTGGGGATTTCCTGGTTCAGGCCTCTGTGGTGTCTGAATTGTCTTCTCCTCCCTGAGGTTATCTCTGGATCAAGGGATTGTGACAGCGCATTCTTGCTTGATCAGGAAGCCCGTGGCCTAAGTCTATCTGCTTCGGTTCCTCTAACTGCGTGTCTGTGATGAGACACGAGGCGTGTTGTCAGCGCTTGGTTTCCTGCCTGGCCTCCGAGACTTCACCAGGATATTCACTCTGTAACAATCCACTGTGCTTTTTCTTTGTGTATTTGTTCTGTGGGATTTTAATAGGATGCATAACACTGTGAAAATAAGTGATCATAAACCTAAAGAAAATTAGACTTCAAGTCTTCTAAGTATCGTGCTGGGTCTCATACTCCTGGAACTGTAGGAATATCCTGGGGCTTGGTCATTTGGGCAGAAGTTCTACGTGCAATGGGTCTCAATCCTAGGTCCCTGCCATCACCTGGGAGGGCAGGTCTCCTGTGGCAGAAGGAGCAGCCTGGGTCTCTTGGGAATCTGCTGGGGCTGGCAGGCAGAGCACACAGATGCTTGGCCACGCCTGTGGCTCCCCTACCTCCCACCTTCAAGAAGCCAAGAGTGTGACTCTTCTCCAGTTCTGCCGGCCTCTAGACAGGTTTTGGCACCCTCCATGGCTTTTGCTTCAAAGTTTTATTTGTCCTCTCCCCACCCCTCGGTCTCTCCACCAGTCATTAGAAAGCTTTGTCTCAAGGGCAGTGCTGGCGAGCAGCTCTTGGTAACCATAGGCAACCATGAGGCTGTAGGGCAATTTGTGCAGCATTCATAAGGCGCTGTCTAGCCACTGACTGAGTTTAAACCTCTAAAACCTTTACAGGTTGTCTGATGCAGTAAGATATCATCTTCCTTTTCTTCTTCTTTCCTTTTTTCTCTTTTTCTGCAGAATGACCAGTCCACGGACCAGATGCAGATCATGGGAGGGGAGGATCTCTCAACACTGGCAGGCAAGGTTTGTTAATGTAACCCACAACTGTCTGCATCGATGTCTGGGGACACCCACAACCTTCATGTCAGTATTGCACTTCCAATACATGGCAGAGCCTCTCAGGTTTGCTAATTCATGCAAATGGATGTGTGAATCCTCTTGATGATTTTTTTTTCCCCTTTCTAAAACACTCCTTTTAGAAATGTATCCAGGGTATGATGCAGACCAAATCCTCTCCGAGCTTTCGGTTCCAATCTTATTACAGACAACAAAGCCCCTGGCCCTGCTTGCTCCGTCCCTTTCCCTCATCCTTTCAGGCATGCTTTCTCTTTTGTCTGCTTTGTATCTCTCATCCATGCCTCTGCACCGAGGCACAGCAGTGAGACGCTTAAACAGGTTTGTTGAAATGCACAAAACTGAGGGAAGAAAAAGAAACAGAAAAGAGTTTCTTAGCCCCTTTGCCTTTTTTTCTTTTTAAAAAGAATGCAGCCTATTAGAAGATGGAGAAAACACCCCCTGATTTTAACTTGGAGATCCAAACCCACCAATTCCTAATTAGAAAGTAGAAAGACTATCTGGATTCTGACATAAGCACTTAAATTGGAGGGAAGTGATGTTTCATAAAACAGATGATCCTTATGGAATGTAATTTGAAATGTAAATTCTCTGTGAATGAAAGCAACAAAGCAAGGAAGAATTTGGTTTTGTTCACTAATACTCACCTAGCCTGTGTTCATCATCCCTGCACGGCCTTGGTCTGCTAAGTGAAATGGATCGGTGTATTACACAAGCTTACTCCCTCGTACTTGTGGTTGTTATGCAATTCCTGGATAAAGAAAAAAGAGTAGCAGCCACATTTAATAAAAGCATGTATCGTAATCTTGGGAATGCTACAGAGCTGCAAGAATTCTAGCTACAACACAGCCTGTGGCTGGGGAGATAGCTTGGTGGTCTGAGCGCCTGCCTGGCAAGCACAAGGACCGGATTCAATCCCCGGTACTGCGTACCACACCAGCCCTGGAACCCTAGGCATGCAGTGCCTGCCCCTTACCTGGGCATGGTGATGCATGCCTGTAATCGCAGCACTAGGGAGGATGAGACAGGAGGATCACTACAAGTCTGAACTGTATAATGAGACCCTGTATCTGATAAATAAAGAAAGAAAAAAAATTTTTTAAAAAATAAAGCAGCCTGCTTCCCTTTACTCTGAAGTTGGCATAGCAGGCTCCAAGTACTAAATTGCCACATAGTAAATTCTGCTTCACAGCACTTAAAATTAACTTGCGCCTGTTAATGCACCAGTGAGCTATCATTCAATGTTACTACACCAGTGCATACAGTAACATTCTAGAAACTAAAATACTCAGAGCAATTTCCAGAAATTCATAAACTTATACCATCCTGGCAAGGTCTTTAAATGATGTCATTTTGGCATTTCTCTGTATGATGTTGCCTTATACATTTATTACAAAAGGGAAATATCTTGCCTTGTGCTTTTGCTATGACATCTGTCAAAGTGACAATGCTAAGATTCCCACATAAATGACAGGAAAAAAAATTTGTACCATAGAATTGTGCTGCTTTTCTCCTTGTTAATAAAAGTGTTTGTCATGTAGTTTATTTTATTTTGCTTTGTTTGGGTTTTTTTTTATGCATTTTGTTGTCATAGGGTCTCACTACACAGCTTGGACTCATAGTGATCCTTCTGCTTTCAGACACCCCCGTGCTGGCATTACAAGCATGTGCCACTATGTCTGGTCTGTGCCGTGGGCTCAGCCTGTCCTGGGGACAGGGCTGGCACAGCATGTAGTGCCAGGGATCAAACTGTGTGCCTCGTGCTTGCCTACGCTTTCCTAAGCAGGTGCGTTAGTCTGCTGAGCTATCTCACCAGCCTCCCATGTAGTTTATTTTAAAGTGACTTTCCTCATAGGTAAACACTGGATTTTCCCTTCCTTTAAGAGCTTGTGTTATAGCCAACCTTGGTGGCACACACCTAAAATCCCAGCACTTGGAAGGCTAAGGCAGGAGGATCCTTGTGAGTTCAAAACCAGTCTGGGCTACAAAGTGAATTAAGGCCTGCCTGAACTACCTAGTGAGACCCTGTCTCAAAAAGACAAAAAATATTTTTAAAAAAGAACTAGTGTTACAATTCAAAGGTGAAACATCCCCTGAAGACTAACGCATTGAGGGAATGTTCAGAGGGAGGACCTCCTTAGGTGACTGGGCCACGAGGGCACTAATCGCATCAGTGAATTAATGCATTGATGAGTTTGTAGCTGGGTGGGCTGTTACAGGAAGAGGCTCGCCTCTGTGGATACAGTACGGCCTCAGCCCCTTCACCTCACTAGATCTTTCTGTCTCTCTGCTTCCTGGCTGTCATGAGGTAAGCAGCTCTCCTTCATTACATCCTTCCACCGTGTTTCTGCCTTGGAGCCAGCCAACCCTAGATGGAAATTTCTGGAACCATGAGCAAGATGAACCTCTTGTCTCTTAAGTCAGGCATGTCTGGAATTTGGGCACAGTGGTGAGAAGGTACTGAGGAGGTGGAGGACAGGATCTCTTCTTAGGACTGGAGCAAACAGAAAGGAGCTAGTTCTCTGCTCCAGCAACTCTTCATATAATTGCCACAAAGATCCCCCTCCACCATGAGAACACAGAGGCTGTAGAAATGCCAGAGAAGAGATAGACAGCCAGCCAGCAGGAAAAACAAGAAGGACTTTGCTTTAGCTATTTCCAACTTGACAAAATGTTTTCTTCCAGGTTCCAAGGTGCTTTTTAGCTGTATCTTTATGCTTTATGTATGCATAGATACATTTCTGTATATGTTTCAACACATGCCAAGTAGAACCCCCTGGGCTTAGGACATACTGGTAAATATTTTTAAAATGAACAAACACAATCTAGCCAGGTTCTCAACTGTCACACCAACTGCAATTAAGGACTCTGCAATTCAGGGTGCCTCATTCAATCAGAAGTTATGACTAGATCAGCCAGGGCAGACTGCACTATGTGCTTTCAAACATATCTGGAATCTGTCCACCTTTTTCCCTGGCCATCACCTAGGGCTTGACCCTTGCTGCTCAAATTGTGATCTAGCATGGGAGTCAGCCAACTTTTCCTATAAAGAGTCAGATAGTGATTTAGACTCTGTGGGCTAACAGTCTCACAGTCTTACTCAATTCTGCTGTTATAGCATGAAGCAGTCACAGATAATGTGAAAACAAACAGAAATAGCTGTATTCCAATAAAACTTTATTGATAGAAACAAATTTTGGTCTATGGGCCATAGTTTGTAAAGCTTTGATCTAGGAACCAGAGAGGTCAGTGCCCCCAGGGAGGGGGTTAGAAATGCAGAACCACAGATCCCAGCCCAGATCTACTGAAGTGAAGTCTTCATTTAAAGGAGATCCCTAAATGATTCCTGCATACATCAAGGTTTCAGAGGCCCTTGTCTCCTAAGGAGAGGCCTTCCTCTGATCTGTCCTAATAACCTGAGTGTCCCTGAACTTTGATCTTCATTTAATTTTCACAATCCTCCAAAACATTAAGCACAAAGCAGCCAAAGGGATCTTTTGAGAATATGATTTAGATCAATTCACTTTCCAGCTGAAAATCATTCAGTGGCCTCTTGTTTAGGGTTTTTAAACTCAGCAAAATCAAGCAAACAACAAACCAAAAATAGCAAGACACCCAGCTAAATTTGAATTTGAATTTTGAATAATAAATAAAAATTTTAGTATTAGTATAGCCCATGCGAGTGCAATATATTGCATGCAATATTTGAGGCATACTAATACTAAAGAATTATTTGTTTGCCTGAAAGTCAGGGGCTACTGGACGTTCTGTATCTTTACTTGACAACCTTGCTCCCATGGCTCTCTGAATATTGTCTGAATTCCTCACTGTGGCCTGTAAGGCCTGTGTGGCCTGCCCCCTTCTGGATCACACATCCCGACATCCTCCCTCACAGCAACCTGACCACATAGGCTCAGCGTCTTCCTGTTAAGACCTGGGCAAGCTCTGACCTCTCCCCGGAATCCATTTTCCTCCTGTCCTTCAAGTTCCCACCTACATTTCTCTTCCATATGGGAAGCTTTGACAAGCTGACTAAATAAGTCCACATCCTCTTCCTTGCTTTACCCACAGGCCTTTGTATTCTGTTTCCAGTGGAGTCCATTCTACCATTTGTAGTATTTATTTTGGGGTTTTAAGAAAATCTGTAAGGGCTGGTGAGATAGCTTAACAGACTAAGTACCTGCTTAAGCAAACAGGGACTGCGGTTTGATCCCCAGCCTCACATGCCATGCTGGCCCCACCCCAGACCCACTGAGCTGGCCACTGAGCCCAGGCATGGTGATGCACACCTGTAATCCTAGCATTGAGAAGGCCGAAATCAGAGGAATCACAGAGTCTGAGCTGGGTAGTCAGACCCTGTACCAAATACATAAAAAGAAAGAAAGGTGAGAGAGAGAGAGAGAGAGAGAGAGAGAGAGAGAGAGAGAGAGGAAGAAGAGAGAGAGAAAAGAAGAGAGAGAGAAAAGAGAGAGAGAGGAGAAGAAAAGAGAAGAGGAGAAAAGGAAAGGAAAGGAAAGAAAAAAGGGGGGAAAAAGAAAAGAAAACCTGTCAGCCCACCAGAAAGTCAGCGTGGGCTGGGCAGGAATCACACCTGTCTTGTTCCCCATCCTATCTCCAGCACTGTGCAAAGGGCTGGACCCTAGCAGGTTGAAAAAACGTTGGGTGACTAGTGTGGCCCTGTTCTGTGGAAATCTGAAAGAGGTTTTCAATTAATTTGGGAAAGAGAGGGCCAGGGAGATAGCTCAGTAGAATAAGCGCTTGCCTGGCAAGCACAGGGTCCTGAGTTCAATCCCTGGTACCA